AGTTTCATAGCACTCTGGTCAGAAAAGATGCATGGTGTGATTTCAATCTTTTTGTACTTTTTGTGGCCTGATTTGTGACCTAGTATATGATCTATTCTGGACAATGTTCCATGCGTAGTCAAAAAGAACCTGCATTAAAGTGCATTCTGCTGCTTTAGGATGAAATATTCTGAATATATCTCTGAAGTTCATCTGGTCCAGTGTGTCATTCAAGTTATTGTTTCCTTGTCGATTTTTTGCTTAGATGATCTGTCCGTTGATCTAAGTGCGGTAATAAAGTCCCCTACTCTTATTCTATTATTATTAATGAGTTGCTTCATATTTGTTATTGTTTTATGTATTGGGGTGCCTCCATGTTGTGTGTATAAATACTTCCAATTATTAGATCTTACTTTTAGATTGTCCCTTTTATTATGATATAATGCCCTTCATCTCATAGTGTTTGGTTTAAAGTCTAGTTTGTCGGAGAGAAGTATTACTAATCTGGCTTTATTCTGATGTCCAGTTATATGATAAATATATCTCCATTCCATCAATTTCAATGCACAGGTGTCTTTAGGTCTAAAATTAATTTCTTGTAGGCAGCATATAAATGGGTCTTCTTTTTTTAATACATTCTGACACTGTGTATCTGATTGGAGTGTTTAGTTCATTTACATTTAGAGTAATTATTTTTTTAAAGATTTTATTTATTTCTTTGACAAGAGACATAGCGGGGGGGGCGGAACACAAGCAGGGGGAGTGGGAGAGGGAGAAGCAGGCTTCCCGAGGAGCAGGGAGCCTGATGCGGGGCTTGATCCCAGGACCCTGGGATCATGACCTGAGCCGAAGGCAGACGCATAACGACTGAGCCATCCAGGCACCCCACATTTAGAGCAATTATTGATAGATATGTATTTAGTGCCATTTTATTACTTGTTTTGTTATTTTGGGAGATTTTCTCTATTACGTTCTTGTCTTTGTCACTTTGGTCTTTCTTTTCCACTCAGAGTCCTCTGTAATATTTCTCGTAGGGCTGGTTTAATGGCCATGAACTCCTTTAGCTTTTCTTTGGGAAACTCTTTATCTTTCCTTCTATTCCTTGCTAGATAGAGTATTCTTGGCTGCAGATTTTTCCCACTCAGTACTATGAATATATCATGCCACTCCCTCTTAGCTTGCCAAATTTGTGTTGAGAGATGGGTCTTCCTTGTAAGTTAGGGACTTCTTTTTGTCTTGCTACTTTTCTCTTTATCAGTACATTTTACAAAATTTAATTACGATGTCATGTTCTTGGCCAGCTTTTGTTGATTTTTTAAAAGATTTATTTATTTGAGAGAGTGTTGGGGAGGGGCAGAGGAAGAGGGAGAGAGAATCTCAAGCAGACTCCCCGCTGAGCACGGAGCACAACACAGGGCTCAATCTCATGACCCTGAGATCATGACCCGAGATCTAAGAGTCAGATGCTTAACTGAGTGAGCCACCCAGGCACCCCAGCTTTTGTTAATTTTGATGGGATTTCTTGGTGCTTCCCAGATCTGGATACCTGTTTCCTTTCCCAGATTAGGGAAATTTTCACATATTATTTTCTGAAATAAATTCCCTGTCCTCTTTTCTCTGTCCTCCTCTAGTATACCTAGATTATGAATGTTATTACATTTGATGGAGTCACTGAATTCCCTAAGTATATTCTCATATTGCAAAATTCTTTCTCTCTTTTGTTCAGCTTATGTTTCATTATTTTATCTTGTATGTCGCTTTTTTGGGCCTCTGCTTCTTCCATCCTTGTGTTTGTTGCATCATTGTTTGGTCGTTGCATTTGTTGTTTCAAATCTCAGTTATTGAATTTTTCATTTCTGACTGTTTTTTTACTCTTTTATCTCTGTGGTAAGGGTCTCCCTGGTCTTCTGTTCTTTTCTCAAGCTAGCTAGTATACTTATAATTGTTGTTTTGGATTCCCCATCAGTCATATTACTTGTATCTGTTCTGCTTAGATCTCTGGCATTTTGTTTAAGTCTCTCTTCTTCTCTGTGTTAGAAAAGCCTGTATGTTTCCTGCTCCTAATAGTCATGGCTTTATGGAGAAGAGATCATATAGGTCCAGGGCCCGGTACTTCAGATACTGTCTCTGGTGTGTGCTGCATGCCCTCTGCTACTGTGTTTTGGCTGCTGTATCCTTCAGGCCAGTTTCTGCAGTGGCTTCTCCTTGCCTGCAGTGGGAAGTGTTTGGTCTTTGGCTAGAATGTGGCATGTTTTAACTAGGTTCACTTTGGTCTGTGTGTTAAATGAGAACTGATACTTCCACTTGAACTGAAGCCATGCAGAACTCTTTGGTCAGCAGCTGTGGTGTGGGCAGGGGCTTCTGCTGGTCTTCTGAGGAAAGGGCCTGCGGCACTGGGATTGAGGCAAGCTTCACTGAGAAGGGCAGTATTACCAGATTGCAGGGATGTGAAGCTTTGTATAAGGAGGTTAGACATCCAGTGTGGGCACTGTGCTGCTTACTGCAGGTGGCTCTGTGTTTATGCTGTGGGGTAGCAGAGGAAATGGACCTAGCCAGTTCCTCTGTTCCTGGAGAGGAGTATCTGTGCATGCTGTCTCTCAGGGAGGCAAGCCAAGAAGAATGAATAATCTCCCCACTGTTTGTTTCAGGTGTTTTTTCAGATTGCTGTTTCTACAGTCTGCCCCTGGTTGTTTGTCTGACTTCTCTCCAGGAACACTGTAGTGCCTTCTGAGCTGTATCCCAGCCAAACCTGCTGACTTTTAACACTCTAGGCTTTAGGGACATGATGTGCGCAGGGGCCTGTGCTGGTCTTTGGGGGAAGCGCCTCACCTAGGCAGAAATTCTTAAGTTGCTAAAAAGATAAAAGTCCCATGACACTTAAAACTGCCCTAATGAATCTGAAGTTCTCAAAGGAGTTAACTAAGGCTTTAAAGGAGTTATATTGGCAGGAAAATCTAGCGTGATAGAGAAGGTCTATGATGGCTCAACTACTAAGGAACTCCCAGGTTTTGTACCTATACTCGTATACAGTGGTCAGCTAAGGGAGTAGAGCTTCCAGCCAGGGAATTCTCTCCAATAATCCTTAGAAGTGTCCCAGGAAAACAAGAAAGAAAGAAAATTTCACTGGTAAGATGAATCTGGGGACTCTTTGAAATAAGTTAATCAATTATGTCAATCCATTGCTAAGGAAGTGAATCAATGAAAAGATGTTCAAGTAGGTTAACTTTGCAGAATGTAGTAAAATACACCAAACCAATGATTGCTGTTTTGCTTCCTTTTTTGCCTTTCCTGAATTGGTATTTTCAACTGCAGTTATTCTGCTCTTTGCTTCTGGAACTTTATATAAAGTTGTCAAATATTTCTGTATTTTTCATTTAGCCTATAGAGTGAATTTACATCCTTACCTAGGGAAAATGGACACCGACCAGCAAATTTAAACCTTGGAGATGGGAGCCACTCTTAGGCATGACATGTGGCACAGAGATAAGTATATCTGTGGTTATAAATGAAAAATGGTACTATGTTTACCAAAGGCTTTGCTTGAACTGGCTGGAGAAAGGGTGTGTGTGTATGCTGCCAACAAAGAAATGAATATCTAGTGCTTTGTCCACCAAAAAGAATCCCTTTCTATGAGAACTGTATCTTATTCATTCTTGAGGGAACTTTCCCTCTTTGCATTTCAACCAAGTGAGTGCTGACAATTACAGTATTCCATCTCTCATACAAATCAGGGTTGTGCCCAGAATACAGTAAATTCAATCAGGAAAGAAGGAGAATACTTTTTGTTGACAAAATTGAACACTTGCTCTAAAGTGCTGCTAATAATCATATAACCAGCCATGTAAAAGAAACCTGTTTCAAAGAGTAAAGATGACATGCAATATAATGCAGACACAGAAATGGACAAAGGGTCCTGGCAACATTCTTCATTTTAAGTATGTCCTTGACCTTTTTTTTTCTAAGCCAGTTAGACTTGCTGTCACTTGCCACTACAAGAGTCCTGAAACAATTCTCTTTGAGAAAATTTAGTAGTCTAATAGGCTAGTATATAGAGTGTACAGGATATATGGTAGAGGTACTCCTAAGGAACTTGGAAAAACTGAGAAACATACTCAGCATCATAAGTCAGTGTCAAAGCCACTCTATTACAATATTTCTCTTGACTGTAACCCAAAAGAATGTGCTAACAAAGTACCCAGCCACAGACAGAAGTAGTGGTACTATCCATCCAAGCAGTGCATATTTGTGTCTCTAGGTAGGTAGGAATACCCTAATGGTTTAACCCACTAATTCTGAGCATACATACTAGCTTACCTTAGCCCGTTCAACTATACCAAATTGCTATTTCACTTTCTGCATAGGTTATTCTAAGCATAGAAATGTACTTCATTTCTTTCAAATCTCAAATACTATTACCCCTGTCAGTAGATAACGATGTCTCATACTTCACAGAACCGTCAGATGGGACTCCTTTAATTTTCCAGTACTAATTATACCATGCTTGCCTACGAAACACCTATCCATCTCCCATAAAGGCCAATCCCTCCAAATGTGTGCAGAATGCCATTCCTTCCCTTCCTTGTCTGTGGGATCTTACATTATTGATTATGCTGTGTTATAAATTCACTCTTCCCCTCAACCACCAGAGATGTAAACTCCATGAAGACAGGGACCTTGCCCATCCCATTTGCTGCTACATTTTTGATGTCTAGTACACAGTTAAGTACCCAGAATTATTTGTTGAAGGCAAGAGTAAATAAATGAATAAAAGATTGGAAATGAATAATCTGTAAGACGTCTTCCATTTCTGAAGCTCTATAATTCTACTTGGAGAAGAGCAGGTGCCACAATGGATTTCTGACTTAGGGTTAGAGGCTTCATCAAACTTCAGTTAATACTTCTCTAGATAAACCTAATATAATTTTTCTTCATCCTTGACTTTACTTCAAATAAATTCACTTTACATTTTGGGCCTCAAGATGAAATAAACGAAACAGACAATGACAACAAATTGTGCTTACTCTTCTTTCCATCCATATCTGCATGGATCTTCCGAGCCAAGAATCCACTTTTGTACACAGCAGCATTTGGGTCATGAGGAATGTCTAAGAATGGGTTGGTAGTGCTCCCAATACGACTGAGGGTCTTTGGATGTGTCCCATTAGCCTTCTCATCAGTACCTTCGGATGGAGATTTTTTTTTCTCTTCATCATCTCTAAAGGGAGAAAACACAGATTGAGCACCTAACATAATACTCAATGAACAAAGTTATTTCGTGTAATAAACTACCATGTTTTCCAGTAGTCTATCAGTCTTGATAACAAAAACTGTAATAACAGGTATCATCTACTATGTGTCTATGTGCCAGGTATTAATGATCATAACAATTTTCTAAGACTGACATTAGTATCCCATATTAGAGATATGGAAACAAACTCAAGGGAGTTTAAATAAATGCCCAAGGACACAGATCTAGTAATCAAAGAAAGATAGTAAGGATATGAACAGTCTCTAAAGCCTTTGCTCTTTCTACCCACTACAGAGCCTTCATGTCTGTCCTCTTTCAAAAGAGTGGGGATTCTTTGGTAGAGATCATGATTTTGATTTTGATTTTTGATTTCTACATGGTTTAGCACATTGCCAAGTATACAGAATACAACAAATAATTATAGATTCAGTCCAATGAATAATATTGAATGATAGCTGCCAAATAACAGTTAATTCTCTTATACTGAAACCCCCGGTAAAGCTATTAATGAGGTAGGATGGTGGTGTTATCCACAGTGCTTTGGCATCTTATAGCGACTACTTTGCCAACTGCCATAAAAGTGTGGGGCACCCTCACAGCCACTGAGAAAACCTTTAATTGGCCAATCTTTTTTAAAATCTCTGTTCTGGGGTGCCTGGGTGGCTCAGTTGGTTAAGTGTCTGCCTTGGCCTCAGGTCATGATCTCAAGGTCCTGAGATTGAGCCCCACATCTGGCTCCTTGCTCAGCAGGAAGCCTGTTTCTCCCTCTCCCTCTGCTCCTCCCCCCCGTTCTGCTCTCCCCTTGACCCCAAATAAATAAAAAATCTTAAAAAAAAAATCTCTGATCCTTCAAGGAGGGCAAATTTAACTCTGAGATTCTAATGTACATTAAGTATGAAGGAGGCAGAAAATGGATGATTACATTCAATTAATAAAGAGGAATGAAGAGAAGAAGAAAATTAATAAACTGATATACTGCTAAAAAACAGCACCAAATTAAGAGCATTTGTCTTAGTTCACCTGTTCAATTTCCTCAATCACCTCTGGTTTAAATGCTTATTAGATTGATTAGTGAATATTTTTATTAAAAATTCAAAATAATCACAACCAAAATATATTTATTATTTTTCTCCCAAAATATATTTAAAAGAAACCAGAAAATTAATAATAATCAAAAGTGTTTATTTGGTGATCAAATTAAAATAGTCTTTTTTTTCTCCACTGCTATTTGATTATTGTGAGATATATAAAAACAACACTGGGCCCTTAGACATCTATACTTAATTTTTAATTTTGAGATTTTAGATTTGTAAAGATAGTACATACATTCCCATCTGCCCATTACCCAGTTCCCCCTAATGTTAACAACTTATATAACCATAGTAAAAATTTCAAAATGAAGAAAGCAATAATCCAATACTATGAATTAAACTTAAGGCTTTATTCAGACTTTACCAATTTTTTCACTATTTTTTTTTTCTGTTCCAGGATCCTATCCATGATCCCACAGTGCATGTAGTTGTTATGATTTCTTAGTTTTCTCCAGTCACCAACAGAACCTCACTCCTTCCTCGTCTTTCATGACCTTGACATTTAGAAGAGTATTAGAACTGGCCAGTTATGTTACAGAATATCCCCAATTTAGGTTTGTTTGATTAGATTGAGGTTGTACATTTTTGGGAAGGATATCATACTGATGGACCCTCTCAGGGCATCAGATGAGGGTATATATGTTTTATGACCAATGATATTAACCTTGATTACTTGGTTAAGGTGCTGTCTGACAAGTTTCTATTCTGTAATGTTACAATTTTCTTTTGTAAATGTTTTGGGGAAAATTTGTGACTATGAAAATAGCCTGTTTCTCCTTAAACTTCAGAACACTAATATGAGCATTCATCAGTGGATCTTGCCTATGACAATTATTATTGTGCTGCTCTAATGGTGTTTTTTTATTTCCCTCATTTGTTCTACATTAGTAATTGCAATTCTTCTGTAAGTATGGACACATGGATATAATCTTATTCTTTTGCATTATAATAAAATACTATCATTATTAAATTTATTGCTCCATTTTTTTCAGCTTTGGCCACTAGTAGTTCTATCAAGGAGGCTTCTGTCTCCTTTGAACATGCCTCCCTCTTTTTCCTTTTTTGTTTTTTAAGCACTTCTTTTAGGTACCACAAGAAGATGCTTCTAAGCTCATCTTAAATTTTCCTTATGTCGACCCTGGAAGAAATGTCTCCAAGAAGTTCCGTTCTTCTTGCTGGACAACGGTATTTGGAAACCAAATCTAGGTACTAGATGTGTTCACTGTATATAGAAAATTGCCACCTGCGTTCCTCTTTTAGTTAATTCCTTTCCCCTTCCAATTCTTGAAAATTACTGATGTCCTCCATCCCTATAGATTTCCCTTTTTCAAAATGGCATAAAACTGGTTTCTTTTACTCAGCAAATTAAATTTAAGATTCATCCATATTGTGCAAATCAATAGTTTGTTTCTTTTTATTGCTAAGTACTATTTCATTTTGTGGTATACCATATTTATTTTGCTTATCCATTTGTCTCCCTGCTCCCAACTTTACTGAAGAACAACTGATTTTTAATACATTTTTTTAAAGTTTTTATATTCCAGTTAGTGAACATACAGTGTAATAGTTTGTACAACATAGTGATTAAACACTTCATCACCTGGTGCTCATCACAACAACTGCATTCCTTTATCCCCATCACCTCTTTAACCCATCTGCCCACCCACCTCCCTTCTAGTAACCATCAGTTTGTTCTCTACACTTAAGAGACTGTTTCTTGGTTTGTTTCCTTTTTTTGTCCCTTTATTAATTTGTTTTGTTTCTTAAATTCCACATATGAGTGAAATCATATGGTATTTGCCTTTCCCTCACTGACTTATTTTGCTTAGCATAATGCTGTCTAGTTCCCTCTGCTTTGTTTGCCTGCCTTCTCTTCAGGAGCAGCACAGTGCCTTCTAGTCTCTATGCCAGGCAAGCCTGCTGACCTTTAAAACTCCAGACTCTAAGCCCCTCTGATGGTAAGAATACATAAAATCCAGTCCCTCTTGTCTTCCAAACCAACGGCTTTGGGTTCTCCTTGTGTGTTCCCCTGTGTGCTCCTCTTTTATCCTTCTCTACAACCACACTTCTCTCCCCTCTGTAGCACCTGGCATCTGTTTCTCCCCCAAATCACTTCTCTGCACTCCTTACCGTATTCAATGTCTTCTCTTCCTTTAGTTGTGGAGTTTGTTCTGTCAGTCTTCATGTCAATTTCTGGGTTACTTAGGATTTGATAGCTACTTAGTTTGTGTTCATGGAACAACATTAGTCTAGGGTCCTCCTACTCTGCTGCCATCTTCCTCTCCCTCTGGAATAACTGATTTATGCAATGTAAGAGATTTAGTTATTTATTAATTTATTTAAAATTAATGGTCACTATTGATGTTCAGGAAATATCTTCTGGATATTGCAAAAATCCTGAAAAATTACAATTTGTTATTATATGGATTACATTTCCTCTTCTATGTTGCTTTATTAATTTTTTTAATTGACAATTTAATGTGAGATATTTAAAGTATACAGTATGAGGATTTAATATACATATACATCATGAAAAAAGTCACTTCATTGTGTTAACACACCCATCACTTTACATATTTATATATATGTATATACAAATATTTTTTGTGTGAAAACATTTAAGTTCTACTCAGAAACTTTCAATTATTCAACACAGTGTTATCAACTGTAGTCACCATGTTATACATTATTTCCTCAGATCTCATCCATCTTATAACTTATAACCATCTTACATACTTTTACCAGCTGTTCCTTACTTCCCCCACACCTCAATGCCTGAAAATGACTTTTATACTCTCCATTGCTATAAATTCAACTTAAAAAAAATCCCAGATATCACAATACCACAAGTGATACTATGTAGTATTTATCTTTCAATGTCTAACTTAATTCAGTTAGCATAATGCTCTCCAGATTCATTCATGTTTGCTGCCTATGACAAGAGTTCATTCTTTTTTAGAGGCTGCATAATATTCCATCATGTATATATACCTCATCTTCTTTATCCATTCATCTGTAGACAGACACTTAGGTTTTTTCCATACTTTGGCTATTGTAAACCATTCTGCTATAAACATGAGAGTACAGGTTATTCCTTCAGATAATTATTTTGTTTCCTTTGTCTATATATTCAGAAGTGGGATTACTGGTAGTTCTACTTTTTAAAAAAAGATTATATTTATTTGAGAGACAGAGTGTGCACACAAGAGAGAGAAGCGAGGACAGAGGAAGAGGGAGGAAACAGACTCCCTGCTGAGCAGGGAGCCTGACATGGGGCTCAATCCCAGGACGCTGGATCATGACCTGAGCTGAAGGCAGATGCTTAACTGACTGAGCCACCCAGGTGCACCAGGTAGTTCTGTTTTTAGTTTTTTGAGGAGCCTCAGTGCTATATGCCATAGTGACTGTAGCAGTTAACATTCACACCAACAGGGTAAATGTCTTTTCCCATTTAGTAGGTTGCCTTTTTATTTTGTTAATGGTTTCCTTCATTGTGTAGAACTTTTTAGTTTGATGTAGTCCCACTAATTTTTGTTCTCGTTCCTAAATTTAAAAATTATTGTCAAGACCAATGTCTGGAAGCTTGCTCTTTATGTTTTCTTCTAGGGGTTTTATGGCTTCAGGGCTTATAGTCAAAGATTTAATCCAACTTGAGTTGATTTTTGTGTGAAGTAGAAGATAAGAGGTCCATTTTCATTCTTTTCCATGTGGATATTCAGTTTTCCTAAAACCACTTATTGAGGGGACAATCTTTTCCCCATTATCTATTCTTGGCTGCCTTGTCAAAAATCAATTGAACAAATTTCTGTGAGTTTATTTCTGGGTTCTCTATTCTGTTCCATTGATCTGTGTGTCTGTTTTTTTTTTTTTTATGTC